TACACAATGGTAAATCCTTAATTACTGTTTAACTCATGTAATCCAATAACGGAACATCTAAAACTAATTGTCATCCATCGTAGATGGATTTTGTTATTTAAGCATATTTTAAAAGTTATTTCTATGTTAGAGTGCACGCACTAAACCTGTGAATAACATTTAGTATTAATTAGTAGTAGTTCATACAGAATCCTTTGCTTCCTATTGTTTGATTATCACTATTTAGCACAAAAAATTAGTATTTGTTTCACGGGTTTAGTGCGAGCACTCTAAAACTAATCATTATACGCACAAATCAGTAAAATGAATTCATGTTAGACAGACAAAAAGTAACGATTTGAATTTTGTTCTCTCCTAGCTCATAGCCAATCATTGGCTTTGAAATATTTTGGCAAAGGGTTAGTCTTATGTTATAACGCCAAGGGCATCTCCTTGGTTTCGAAATGTTTTAAGAATACTAACACTGCGGGCGGTTCTGCATTGATGGGATCAAATTCTGAACGGTCGAATTTTGAACTAACTGAAGTAAAATCTTTATTATTCGGCTGTTACCTAGCTAGCAGAACCCCCTTAAGGACTTTCCTCCTCTGATAGGAAGGTATATAGTAATAAATACTTCGAAATATTAGGAATAGACAAGTTCACGGTTTCCGACGCCATATTGGGGGTCAAATTTACTATCGAGTCATTCTTGTCGAGGCAAGATTCTTTTTACGGTCAAATTGAACCAGTATGATCGATCGATCGCAAAACTCGCAAACCCCAAAGTCTCCGTCTCTCTATGCACCCGTGTTATGCTGGCTCCATCTGCTCAAAAACAGCACACAAAATATTGAACAGAGGATTCTCCATCTACAGAAAAAATTTGGTCTCGAAAATTTACCTCAGAATGGAAATACAACGAAAAACGTCTCTCTTTCCCCTACGCTTGTTAGTAAATTTGCCCCCTAAGCAATATTTCGTCGGAAACCGTGAACTTCTCTATTGAATCCCACGAGCCAAAACTAACCTGGTGCCGCTGTGGTCGGTATGTCACCTCTTAATACAGACGTCAAGCTCAGCAAAATCAAAATAGCAAAAGCAGTTACTCTTATCATGTCGATACTAAAGGGTTATACTTGTGAAGATTCTCCTTCTAGGCTATAGAAACAAAAGTTACCATGGAACGCCTCGCACGTATGACAGATGAAGTGACGAAATCATCACTTCAACGAGATATTGACCTTTGTTCTCTTGCACTGATTCATCTGTTATCTAGTCATTCACACATTAAAAAACTATATTCTTAAAACTTTTCTTAATATATTATGACAATATTATAACTAGAGTTTACACTATATATAAAGGGTTTGTGTGTTTGTGTGAATTTCTAAAGAATTTGATTGTTTTATTTTTATTGGAAAAATTTTATCAAAGAGAGAGAGAGAGAGAGATGGAAGAAAAAGAAGAAAAACTAAAAGAAAAAGTTTTGAGTTTTCCTGAGCTCTCGGCTACATCTTAAACTAATCAGTAATTTCCGCGTTTTTTATTCATATCAATAGTGCGAATGCGAATGTTTTTTTTGCTATCAGAGATTAGACTAATTCGAAGTGTACAGATTCATGTCAGTACTATTGATTCATGGAATGAATACATGTTGTAAAACCCCAAAATTGTTTTCATTTCGCTGACAACTCCGTCTCAGTCAAGTGGCTTTTTCCTCCGACGTAACCTTCCGGCTGTTTTAAAACACGTCAAGTAACGTCAATTGAATCGTAATGCTTGGGATGCCTGTGGTAAGGGCACGAGAACCGAGAAGGATTTGATAAAGTTATAAGAGTTGTCTATAGTGTGATGTTCAAGGATAAAAATAGGACCCTTTCTTTCCTTGTACATGATGTTCGCAGGCCTTCTTCAACAAGAACATAGAGTTCCCTTTGTGACAGGACCTAACAGGACAACGAAGGAACGAAAAGAACTCGTGTTTTTGTAATAACCTTTTGATAACATCTTGACAAGTGACGTTCACTGGACATAATAGTCGTCAGGCGACATGAAGAATGCGTTGAACTGAGCCGAGGTACGTCAGATATGACTCAAACTGAATGAGGAACAATCTCTCATCCAAATCC